CCACAATCTGTTGTTCACAAATTAATATTCCTCAAGCACAAATCTGACCATGTCATTCCCCTGCTCAGGAAGTTTCATTGGCTCTCTGTTGCCTATGAAAAAATATAAATTTCTCTATTTGGTGTTTAAAGCCCTTTCCAATATGGCTGCAGCTTCTATTACCAGACTGATTATGCATTGCTCCACTTCATATCCTCTCCACTTCAGCCAGTCTGACCTCTTTGGTGTTACCCATACACAGTGTGCCATCTCCTGCATCTGCACAGTCTCAAATGTTCTCACTCCTCATCTTTCTTGGATCCCCTGGCTGTCACCTCCTTCCTCATGTCTTTCCTCATTCTCCCAGTTCTTAGTGACCCTGCCCCTCCCCTATTACTTTATTTTGTATCTATTGTATCTGTGCTCCTGTTTTACCCTCATAGACTGTGTCTTGAGAACAGGGACTTTTTTTTTTTTTGCTTTTATCTTGGTGTCCCCAGAGCCTACATACATAGCCATAGGTTCTGGAACAAGAGGGCTTCCCCATTCAGATCCTGGTCACCTGGTGGTGGTGGTAAAGGGTTGCAGTTTTGTTCTGGCAATATAGGCCACTTAAGTCTGGAACAAAGATGCTTGGTACTGTCTCTGGCATGCAGTAGATGCTTAAGGAATATTTGATTGATTTTCATCTTTGGTAAAATTGGGATAATTATATTTGTACTACCTACCTCATAGGATGGTTATGAAGAAAGCACTTTGCAAAACTTTAAAGTGCTATATAATTATGAGATGATGCTGAGGGTTTTTTTTTTTCTATCTTAAAGATAGTGTTTCTTTGTGCAAGGTACTATGGGGGATGCAGGGAAGTAAGTGTAAGGTACAGTCTTTGTCCTCAAGGAGTTAACAGTCTAGCTAGGATGATAAGATAAGAGCATGTAGACATTTAAGCAACAATACAAAGATAAATAATGTTTTACCATTTAAAACTTCAATTAACTAGAGCCCAACTACCTAGAATTCCCAGTTTATCAGTATTTCTTCTAGTATTTGACTTCTGAGACAAGAATTCTTAACTTGGGATATGTGAACTTCTTTTTACAGTTTTTAATATATTTTTTAAAAAAATCAAAACATTTATTGGAGTGTCTTGTATAAAAAAGTTTCCAGTCATAAAACATATATTACAAATCATTGAAAAAGACATTTGGCATGCGTGTATATTCTTACAGTTTTTAATAGTTTGCTATTTCAATATAATTAGTTTCTTTTGTAATCTTATGGATTTTTTGAAACGTATTTTCAAATATTACATGGTTGAAAAGCCTGTTCACAGGCTGCATCTGATCTGCCATCTCAGTGCAAAAGTCTGCCACCATGCACACAGGCAGGTGAGGCCATCTAGTAGCACCAAGCCCACTGCCCCAGCACCTTTAGGACTGGTCCTTTGAGAGTGGAGCTCTGATCTTAGCTCATGTCAAGGATGGAATTTTGAAGCATCCTGTCTCTAGAACTATGTAGATTTCTGCCCTGTGTTGCCAGAACAGAACCATAACCCTTTATTTCCATCAGGTGACTAAGATCTGTATTTAGAAGACTTCTTGTTCCAGAACCTGTGACTATATGTGTAGGTACTGTATATTCTTCTTTGATTCACTGAACTGTCAGGAGGTGGGGGTGTGGAAAGTAATACATAGTACTTACTATATGCCAGTTACTCTGCTAAGCATTCTACAGATACTATCCCATTTGATCCTTACAACAACCCAGGGAGGTAGGAGTTATTGTTATCCCTATTATTATTTATAGTTGAGGAAACTGAGGCAGTTGGAGGTTAAGTGACTTGCCTAGGGTCACCCAGCTAATAAGTGTCTGGGGCTCAATTTGAACTTCATAATTATGGGGAGTGCCCTGACACCAGGTCTTCTTTCTCATGGTACCTTAGCCTGGACCTGAGCCTTAGGCTGTCATTACAGAGTCTCTCATTACAAAGATTTTGTCAAGGAATTGGGCTTCAGACAACAGTTCTTTTCAAGTCTTCATGCTGAAGAGTTAAAACTCTGTTAAGAACGGTTTTATTGATGTTCTTCCATCTCCACTGAATTTTGCTCTCTTTACCTATGAATGGTGGGAGGGCGGTACCTATCATAAGCATTCCTTAGAGATGTTGTGGAGATGCCCACATATGACTTTGAAGGCTCCAAAGAAATCTCTGCTTTGGTATTGCCCTGAGTAATCCTGGATCTCCTCAGCCTTTGTATTCTAGCATTAATTGCATGTTTGAACTTTGTATCTTAGAGTAGATGTCTCTGATGTCCTTTATTTATTAATTTTTTTTGAGTCACAAAGAAGTACAGGGCATTGGCCACATTTTGCCTGTCCCCATGGAACTAAACTTGGTGTCATTTCACCTTTTATTGAAGACTAGTAGATCATGTCATGGAGACTTCTGTTTGTTTTTTACATTAATGAGACATTTGGTTGCTATGAGGTTGTTGAGATGATCTCAGTTTCTTGCAAGTGTCCCCATTCCTTAGGCAATTGGTCAACCACTTGAATTGGTTGGGTGCCCCTTTGAAATGCTTCGGTTTTATTGCTACCAAGAATTTGGAGCACATCAGACAGTGAACAGTCTTAAGCACTCAGCACTACACCTTTCAGCAATAATTCAGCTGTCCTTCAAATGCCGTTGTTGAAAAAGATGTAATCAGAGAAAGGCCGCTTTTGGATCTTGACCTCATCCATATGTGTTTGGGTAATGTGTTAGCTGGGAGAGATTTTCAGCTAGTGCCAGGCTGGTTCTTGGCATGCTTCCTGAGCAAGAATAGAGCCCTTTCTTTTGCATCCTAGCCTTCTGTGAGCTAATCCTCTCTATTCCTCTTTTAGCAGATACCAACTAATGAGCAACATAGATAGCCCAGAAGGCGTGCTGGTGACAGAGAGAAGCCAGCCTAGACTATTAAAAGTGCTGTAGACATTTCACAAGGTTAGAGCATACATCATGGATGATCCACATGTGAATAATCAAGTCAACCATCTTTTAATTTTCTTCAATTTTATTTTTGTCTAGTTCAGGCATATGTGTAGAATCAGATGTTAACAATTATAGGGAAAGCTTTATAATGATGCTTCATTTTGGGTGGTGGGGGAGAGGAGGGCTAGATAGCTATGGAGAAAGAGCTTAATGTTTTAAATGCCTAATAAACTTGAGCAATCCAGCAAAACCAGTTAGTCAGTCAGTTATCTTCACTGAAGGTGTTGTGTTGAATATAAAATGGCACCTTAAGGCATTGAGAATTGAACTTGAAAAACTTTTTGTTTGTAGGTTTTCAGAATAATGTGATTTCTAACTAGTTGGATTGATTGGTTCATTATAAAGTTTTGTGAAGATAAAATGAGCTACACAACTGCTTAGAATTATCTCATAATTGAACTGCACATAATACCATCAGGAGATACAGGATAGGACTGCTACCTAATCTATTGATTGTATTATAATAGACTTTTGGGGTATGCAATAAATGTAATAGAGGAGCTAATAGGGCCTTGAATACAACTGAATCCATATGACCAATAAACTGTCTTATGATGGGTTTATCTTGTACATCAAACTAAGATGTGCGTGTTTTATGGGGAGGAATTAAGACATTTTGGGGGACATTTAGGCCCTAGTCCTTGGAGGGATTTTCTGAGTATCTAAGAAACTGTTTGTTTTGCTGAGGAACACCAGTCCTTGAAAAGAAGTTCCTTGTGTGTGCTTGGTTGGGATGGAAATGGAATAAACCTAATGGGAAGAAGTTGATGGAGTAGCTGGGTGGGCTCTTGACTGTGTGATTTGGTTGGGTTGTAATGAGCCCAGCTGAGATTCAGAGTCAGCTTATCATAACAAGGACAGCGGGCAGTGCCTCATTTGGAAAATTAGAATAGGCATGTAGTCACCAAGGCCTATAAGGTAGTTAGAGATAAAAACCAGAGGGTGCCATCTAGGTGATTGAGATGGTGAAGGAGATTGGCCGTGCTGCATCATTTAACGTATCATAGTAATAAGAGTGTCTTGAACAAAGAGGGTCTGGATTGGTGTCCTCCCTCCAACACTTGCTAGCCCTGGTGTGGTATAAGTCTCTGAGCTATAGCCTTCTTGTCTGAAACATGAGAAGAATATTCGTGCTGCACACCTCAAAAGGGATTCCAAGGAAAACACCTTGTAAACCATGAAATGTTATATAAACTTGAGCTATTTATTTGTGGGTTAGTTAGTGGTTGCTTTCAGGACTATAAGCCTCACTGCAAGCTCCATCAAATTATTGACACTTATTTCATCTATAGAATTAAACCTTATACTACTACCCTAGTAACATACTACTATAGCAGTACTATGCTGCTACTCCAGAAGCTATTTATTTACTCCATATTAGGTGCCTAATACACGTAGTGAGTCATCCTAGGTAACTAAATGGTCTATGCCTAACTAGGAGTATTCTGCCCCTATTAACAATGCTGAAATACCTTTCAAAATTGGATATAAGATGTCCTAAGTTAAGAAAAATCCGAATATCAAATTTGACACTGGCTATGTAAAGTTAATTTGCAGCTAGAAATTATTTTAAAATATCCTAGGGATTAATCTTGGGATAAAATAATCCTAAGGATTGTCAAATTAAGTTGGGTAGCATTATGACTAATTACTCAAGAACTAGAATTCCTAATCTGAACTCCGTTACTTTCATCTTAAATGATTTTGGATTTTGTTTTTCTGTTGCATAAAAATAATGCATGCCCTGGCTTGCTTCACGAAACAGATTAGCCAGTAAAAATGAGGTTGCAGCCATAACGATCAAACTCTACAAAACTGTTGAATTATAAGAGCAATTTTCTTCCTAAGACTGTGTGTATTAGTTTGTGTAGATGGCAGTAAGTTTAGCTCTTCCTCGGTCATGTTTTCCTCTGGCCATAAGCTTTTCTTGGTTCCGTATGCTACACAGACAATATTTATCACAGTGCTTCCTGCTCCTTCCTCCTTTCAGGTGGTCCGCACTGAGAAGAACAGCTTGAACAATCGCTTCTTACCCTGGAATGAAATTGAGACTGAGGCCATCCTGTCCATTGATGATGATGCTCACCTCCGCCACGATGAGATCATGTTTGGCTTTCGGTGAGGGGCTGGTTGGCATTTGAGCAGCAAGGAGCATGTGACAAAAATTTCAGGTCCCTCCCTGAAAGACGTGGGGCACACCAGGGTATGGAACAGATATTCAGGGTTAAAATAAGGTCCCACAGCCTGGACACTCAGCTCAAAAGTGCATCCTCATTTACAGAGAGACCTCAGAGGGTCAGCTCTTTGCTGTGCAGAAGTTTCTTCCCTGGAGGGATTGTCTAGCTTCTAGGCCTCCTACTTTCCAAGTCCTTCTGAGTTTATATCACTTATCATTTGCTCATTTAATAAACATTTATTTAGCCTATTCTGTAAGGCTCTGGGGAAGTAGAGAGTTATAATAAAATGTTGGCTCATAGATATCCTTAAAGGGGAAAGGTGGCCCAGGAATTTCATTGATAAATCAAGTTTTTTTCAATTTAGAGATTGGCCTTCTACTTTTCCCTTAGCTGCCTCTTAGTATCTTTTTGAAGCAGGTGTTCATTCTTTCACCAGCCATTTTATAAATCTTTCCATACTGTGAAGTGTCCATCCTGTACCAAGACAGAAACCAGCCAGCTTTGCTTGGGCAGCGTCCTTCCATGTTTATGCAGCGTGGGAAAATGAAGGCATGTTGTTTTTTCAGTATAGTGGCCCTCTGTCTTTGGAGATGATATCTTTGAGTGATGACCCCATGATGTAGTATAGCAGGACTGAAGACAGATTTTCTTCTTTCCTTCAGCCTTCCTTCAGCCAAAAGAATAAACCATTTAGGCAACTGATTGTCTTTTCTGTCTGTAGAAAGATTGATAGTGCATTTTTAAAAGTCTTCTGACGTGACATTGGAGTCAAAGTTTCCATGTGTAACTTTTGACCTTGTAGTCAACTGTAGGAATTGAGATGTTTAGGAACAGAGCCCCAGGTTGTAAGGTGCTGACTAGATAACACATAATTATGTCTGGTTAGTTATGGCTTAATATTAAGCTCCCTCATGGAGTTGAGCTTGGCTGTGGCCGCATTAATTTTTTCCTGACCTTTGTCACCTTTTTCTTTAAAATTCCAATTGGCTTTCCAATTCAAACTATGTTCTGTTCTCAAAAAGCTGTCTCCTGTAATGTTCCTATCCAAAGCAACCAACGGAAGATAAGAGAGTAGCAATTGGCACATTTTAACTATATGGCTGGCATGCCCCAAAAACGTTCTCCTGGCAAGAGAATCCTTTGGACTGCCCTTGAACTCAGCCTCTTAACAATTCAACATGTGTAGCCAAGGCCACAAGAATTACCTTTTGTAAAAAATGCAAATATGGAAGTCTATGGATAGGGTGAACTTGAGGGATAATGTGGGATTGTGGGCTGGAAGGTGGGTCTCAGGAGTTCTTTTCTTGGTTCCAGTTCTAGTGACCTCCTATGGGCCTGGAACTTTTGAAGGCCTAACTCCGACTAGAATAGGAGAACCCACTCCACTTGCCCATGACTCAAACTGATGTGCCTCCCTGATTCATCATTCTTTTCCTCCTAAAGCAGGAAGTGAATATGCTCTAGGGATGCTGCCTCTAAGGGTTCAGTTACAGGTTCCTTATGGTTTGTGTTTTAAAGAGGTGAAAAGCCTCATTGAATATGCTTTATTTTTTGTTACACTATTCGATGGCCCCCCAAATCTGCCAGAATCCTACCTAGGAAGTATGGGATGTGCCTCTGTAATAAAGTTATTGTTAAAACCTTTACTGTTGACCTTTTTCTAACTTTAGGGTCTGAACCCTGGACCGAAGTGGCCAAATCTTGACAGGAAAAAGAATGACCTTTATGGTTCTGGACATTAAGGCAGTCTGATCGACTTAATTATTCACATTTTTCAGTGGAGAAGAGAGGTCATTCAGGTCTTCTTAGGAAACTCTATATAGCATTTCACTATCCTAGAATTGGTGCCAGAAACCAAACTTCCCTTGATCTAACTTGCCTCAAAATTAGTATAATATTTTAAAACATCCCTAAAACTGGTAACAGAGAGTCTCTGATTTATCATTTCTATAGTAATGACTCTTTTCCTAATGAATTGTCACGTAGGGTACAGTTTCTCGCTGAGCTGAAGGCAAACAAACAAACAAACCCAAAAAACAAACCAGCTCTTCCATAGCTCTGTGACTATCTGATTCAAGAAGCTTTCTTTCCTACATGACTTAGAGCCTGGGCAGATATTCTGTGACTTTACACAGTTCTTTTCCCTGATCCCACAACAAATACATCCCTGAGAAGTGGGAGTCATGCTTCTTCAGCTCTCATTCCCAAAAGTAGGTCTGTCCAGCTTCTGACTCATATTGGCATAGCAGCTTCTCAGGAAGACCCTAAAAAAAAAAGCTTTTAGTTTTTTTCCTTGCATTTAGTTAACATTCTCAGTGAATATACTTATGAATACTCCTATCTCTATAGCTGGAAAGAACCTCAAAGGTTAATAACTCCAATCCCCTCATTTTACAAATGAGGGAACAGATCCAGGGTCACACACAAGTGTCAGAAGAGGGATTTGAATGCAAGCTCTCTTGACTTTAGAGCCAGCGCTCTTTCTCTGCTGTATTATGCAGCCTCTCTAACCTGTTAGATTTCTTTCTGTTCTCCAGAATGAATTTGAGACAGATGTCAGAGACCAGGATAAATTCAATAAGCTAAGAAAGAAGATGGTGGGAATACAAGACTTAGAACATAGATTGGGTGAAATATGTAGTGTGCCTTTTATACAAGCAATAAGGTTAAAATATTTCTGGACCTCTCAAGGCATTGAACTTTGATGTGTACGGGCCTTTTTTACAGGGTGTGGAGAGAAGCTCGAGATCGAATTGTGGGTTTCCCTGGGCGATACCATGCTTGGGACATCCCACATCAGTCCTGGCTCTATAACTCCAACTATTCCTGTGAGCTATCCATGGTGCTGACAGGTGCTGCCTTCTTTCACAAGGTAAGGAAAAGTGTATTGATGAAGGGGGGACCAACTGTCAGCAGTCTATGCAGGGTTGAACATTTTTTTTATTTTTAAGGAATTGGGGTTAAGTGACTTGCCCAGGGTCACACAGCTAGTAAGTGTCAAGTGTTTGGACTGAGGCTGGATTTGAACTCAGGTCCTCCTGACTTCAGGATTGGTGCTCTATCCACTGCGCCACCTAGCTGCCCCAGGGTTGAACATTTTTACTGAACTAATTCTCCTCATGCCCCCATCTTAGAAATGAACTTTATCTATTTTAATCAGAATGATCACATGTAAAAAGTCTATCTAGAAATTTAAAAAAAGCCCATGTAAACCAAAACAGTAGTAGTGAAGAACTAGAAACAAAGTAGATGTCCATTGACTACAAGATGATAAAATAAATGACTACATATGGATGTAATGGAATATTACTGTGTTATAAGAAATCAAAAGAACTGAGAGCAGAAAACAGGAATAACATTATAAAGTGATAGTTACTTGTATGATATGATTTGAGAGGCTCCTGGAAGGGACCCTTATTCAAAACTCCTTTGGATCCTGAAGACTTTTTACTTTCCCTTGTTAAAATGAAAACACACATGGGAAGTTTTAACACTGGAAGCCATTAGGTAGTGACATTTTAACACAGGATTAGTTGATACATTGCTGAGCTCTAGCAATGCCTAGGAGGTCAGAGACACTGAGAAAAGAAAAGGGAAGGTGCTAGAAGACAAGCTGTTTTGTTTGACTGAGAAATGAAATGAAATTTTTATCATTGGGGCTAAAAGTAGGTAAATTTTTAGGAACCAAGTAGCACTTACCCAGGAGTTTAAATTGTTTATTTTACAGATGATTACTAATGGACTCCCATATACAAGGAGGGTTCCAGAGGGATCCCTGAGAACCTTAGAGCCAGGGAGGTTTGCTTCTGTATAAGGCAAGCTGGTAGAATCCATAATAAATGATAGGATCATTGGACACAAAACCTTAGGAGAAATTACATCTAAAATTAAATAGTGATCAAGGAGGAGCCAGCAAATACTACCTAATTAGACCTCTAAAATTTTTTGACAAAGTTGCATGCCAAAAGTTATTTTTAAAAAGATAGCATGGAATTACTTTGTCAGAATATTGACTTATAGGTAGAAAGTAAAAGGTGGGGATAAATAGGCACTTATATAGATGGAGAAGTTTCTAGTAGGCATTGTTATTGAAATCCACTTAAATTTTTTTTATTGATGTATTTTGTTTTTACATTGCTTTTATCTCTAAATATATCTCTCCCGTCACTAGAGAGCCATCTTTTATAACAAAGAATAAAAGGGAAAGAAAGGGAAAAAAATAGTCATGCAAAACTAATCAGTGCATTGACTGGGTCTCACAGTGTATACATTGCTACCCTAGGCCTTCACTTCTGTAAAAAAAGGGAGTTTTATTTTCTTCTCTCTTCTTTGGGGCCAAGCTGGATCATTATAATTGTACAGTGTTCATTTTTTCTAAAATGAATGCATTATTTCCTTTTTTACTATCACCTTATTTCCAAATATATATATATATCCCCCTCCCAAAAAGCCTTTTCTTATAAAAAGAATTAAAATACAGAAAAGAATAGCAGATCAACAAAGCTAGCCAACATATCTGTGAAATTCTGCAATATGCAGTCTTCCATGCCTGTGATAATTTAGAAATCTGCAAAGAAGGGAGGTATGTTCTTCTATCCCCTCTTCAGAGTCAAGCTTGGTCATTATAATTACACAGTATTTAGGTCTCATTTTTTGTGGAAGTTGTCCTTTCCATATACTTTGTTGTCATTGTGTATATCATTTTCTTGCTTCTGCTTACTTTGCCATCCATCAGTTCACACAAGTCTTTCCATGCTTCTCTATATTTTTTATGGAAATGTTTCTTTTTTAAAATACATTTATTTTCTGTTCCGTATTTCTTTCCCTCCCATTGACCCCTTCCTCATCCATTGGGAAGGCAAGAAGTATGATACCCATATACATATGAAGCCATGTAAAATATTTCCACATTTGGGTGTGTGGGTGGAGTAAGAAAAATAAAATGAGGGGCAGCTAGGTTGTGAAGGGGATAGAGGACCAGCCCTAAAGTCAGGATGACCTGAATTCAAATCTGACCTCAGACCAAACACTTGACCCTGGGCAAGTCACTTAACCCCAATTGCCTAAAAAAGCAAAAAAAACAAACAAAAAAAAATGAAAAAAATGCTTCAATCTGTATTCAGAGTTTTCTTTCTCTAGTGGTGGATAGTATTTTTCATCAGCATTTTCATCCTTTGAAATTGTTGTGAATTGGGGCGGAGCCAAGATGGCGGAGTGAAAGCAGTGACTTGCTTGAGCTCTCCTCCAAACCCCTCCAAATACTCATAAAAAATGGCTCTAAACAAATTCTAAAGCAGCAGAACCCACAAAAAGACAGAGTGAAACAAATTTCCAGCCCAAGACAACCTGGATGATTGATCAGAAAGGTGTATCGCGCAGGGCTGGGAGCGCAGCGCAGCGCAGTGTGGGCGTGCAGGCTGCAGGGAACCTGGAGCAGGACTCAGAGGACTGAATCACTGGTAGCTGTGGTGGTTTCCAGACTCCTCAATCCACCAATGAAAAGACAACTTAGAAGGTCAGTGGGAAAAGTCTGTTTCTGTCTGTGCTGAGACAGGAAGGTGGGGTTTCAGCTCCATTCCCCAAGAGTGAGGCCCTGGGGGGAGCAGCTGCTTCCCGAGCTTCCGGCCCACAGACTGAGGGGGAATCCAGTGGCTGATCAGAGAGGGACTGCAGGGATCTCTTTGCCAGTGCTGAGGCAGGAATCTCTTGCTTTGCCCATGTTTGGATCTGGGTCACAGTTCTGGGCGGCAGTGCTGGGGTGAGGAAGAGCGCTGGCGTGGTGGAGCTTGGAGTGGCTGTGGAGAGGAACCCCTCCCCACAGTTACAGGACAGAAAGGAATACCTGTGCTCACAGGCCAGGAAAGGAGTAAACACCTCACCCCTTATCATACCACCTTGGAAGAACTGAAAATTTACAGGTCCCTACAAGTATCTCTGAAAACAGCTACACAAACCCTGAAGCTTGGGACAATACATTCTCCACATTGGAAGCAGACTCTTACCTTAACAAGGAGTTTAAAACTCACGTAATTGGCTGGGATCATGAGCAAGCAGCGCAAAAAGAGTCAGACTATATTATCTTACTTTGGTGAAAAAGAAGATCAAAATATACAACCAGAAGAAGACAACAAAGTCAAAGCTCCTACATCCAAAGCCTCCAAGAAAAATATGAATCAGTCCCAGGCCTTGGAAGAGCTCAAAAGGGATTTTGAGAAGCAAGTAAGGGAAGTAGAGGAAAAACTGGGAAGAGAAATGAGAGTGATGCAAGAAAATCATGAAAAACAAGTCAACAGCTTGCTAAAGGAGACCCAAAAAATACTGAAGAAAATAACACCTTAAAAAATAGCCTAACCCAAATGGCAAAAGAGGTCCAAAAAGCCAATGAGGAGAAAAATGCCCTAAAAAGAAAATTGGCCAAATGGAAAAGGAAGTCCAAAAGACTGAAGAAAATACTTCCTTAAAAATTAGAATAGAGCAATTGGAAGATAGTGACTTTATGAGAAATCAAGACACAGTAGAACAAATCCAAAAGAATGAAAAATTAGAAAACAATGTGAAATATCTCATTGGAAAAACAACTGACCTGGAAAATAGATCCAGGAGAGAGAATTTAAAAATTATTGGACTATCTGAAAGCCATGATCAAAAAAAGAGCCTAGACATCATCTTTCAAGAAATTATCAAGGAAAACTGCCCTGATATTTTAGAACCAGAGGGCAAAATAGAAATTGAAAGAATCCACAGATCTCCTCCTGAAAGAGATCCCCAAAGGAAAACTCCTAGGAATATTGTAGCCAAATTCCAGAGTTCCCAGGTCAAGGAGAAAATATTACAAGCTGCCAGAAGGAAACAGTTCAAGTACTGTGGAAACACAATCAGGATAACACAAGATTTAGCAGCTTCTACATTAAAGGACCAAGGGCATGGAATATAATATTCCAGAGGGCAAAGGAGATAGGATTACAACCAAGAATCACCTACCCAGCAAAACTGAGTATAATCCTTCAGGGGAAAAAATGGTCATTCAGTGAAATAGAGGACTTTCAAGCATTCTTGATGAAAAGACCAGAGCTGAATAGAAAATTTGACTTTCAAATACAGGACTCCAGTGGAACATGAAGAGGTAAACAGGAAAGAGAAATCATAAGAGACTTATTAAGATTGAACTGTTTACATTCCTGCATGGAAAGATGATATTTGTAACTCATGAGACCTTTGTCAGTATTAGGGTAGTTGGAGGAAAAAATTATATGTATTTATAGTGATAGATAGATAGAGGGCACAGGGTGAGTTGAAGATTAAGGGGTCATATCTGGAGAATAAAATTAAGGGATGAGAGAGGATTATACTCGGAGAAGAAGAAAGGGAGAGGTAGAATGGGGTAAATTATCTCACAAAAAAACCAGAAAAGTCTCTTACAGTGGAGGGGAAATGGGGAAGGTGAGAGGGAATGAGTGAATCTTATTCTCATAGGATTTGGCTTAAGGAGGGAATAACATACACATTCAATTGGGTGGAAATCTGTCTTACCCTACAGGAAAATAGGGGAGAAGGGGAAGAGAGCAGGGGGATGATAGAGAGGAGGGCAGATTGGGAAAGGGGTAATCAGAAGTAAATACTTCTGAGGAGGGACAGGGTCAAAAGAAAGAATAGAATAAATGGGAGGGCAGGATAGGATTAAGGGAAATAGAGTTAGTTTTTCACAACATGTCTACTATGGACATGTTTTACATAACTGGATGTGTACAACCTATATTGAGTTGCTTGCCTTTTCAATGAGGGTGGGTGGGGAGGGAGGAAGAGAAAATTTGAAACCTAAAGTTTTAAAAACATATGTTTAAAAAAAATGTTTTCACATGCTACTGGGAAATAAGAAATACAGGAAATGGGGTACAGAAGTTTATCCTGCCCTACAGGAAAATAGAAGGGGAAGGGGATAAGAGAAGGGGAGAGAGATAGAAGAGAAGACAGACTAGGGGAAGGGGTATTCAGAATGCATGCCATCTTGGAGTGGGGGGAGGGGGAGATGGGGTGAAAATTTGGAATTCAAAAACTTGTGGGAGTGAATGTTGAAAACTAAAAATAAATTTATATTAAAAAAAGGGAAAAAAAGAAATTGTTGTGGATTGTTGTATTGATTAGAGTAGCTGCGTCTTTGACAATTGATCATCATTGAAGTATTGCTGTTATTTTTTACAAAGCTCTCCTAGTTCTGCTCATTTCACTTTGCATTATTTCATACGAGTTTTCCTAGATTTTTCTGAAACCATCCCCTTTGTCATTTCTTAGAGCACAACAGTATTTTATCACATTTACATACCACAACTTGTTTAGCCATTTCCCAAATGATGGGCATCCCCTTAGTTTCCAATTCTTTGCTGTTACAAAAGTAGGTGCTATAAATATTTTTCCACATATATTTTTCCCATTTCTTTGATCTCTTTGGGGTACAAACCTAAAAACAGTATTGTTAGGTCAAAGGGTATGCACAGTTTTTATAGCCCTTTGAACATAGGTCCAAATTTTTCTCTAGAATGGTAGGACCAGTTCACAGCCCCACCAACAGTGCATTAGCATACCTATTTTCCCACATTCCCTCCAGCATTTGTTATTTTCTTTTTCTGAAAGGTTAGCCAATCTGATGCATGTGAGGTAATACCTCAGAGTTCTTTTAATATAATAAAAGTTATCTATTTTACCCCCTGTAATCCTCTTTCTCTTGTTTGATCATGTCATGTTATCCGTAGATATGACAGGTGATTTTTCCCATGTTCCCCTAATTTGCTTATGATATCCCCCTGTATGTCCAAATCATGTACCCATTTTAAGTTTATCTTGTTATACAGTATGAGATGTTGGACTATGCCTAGATTCTGCCACACTGCTTTCCACTTTTCCCAGCAGTTTTTTTCAAATGGTGAGTTCTTGCCCCAATAGCTGGGATCTTTGGATTTATCAAACACTAGGTTATTGTGCTCATTTGCTTCTGTATATTGTGTACCTAATCTACTTCATTGATCAATCACTCTATTTCTTAGCCAGTGGCAGATTGTTTTAATGATTATTGCTTTGTAGTATAGTTTGAGATCTGATTCTGCTAGGCCCGTTTCACATTTTTTATTGATTCCCTTGATATTCTTGACTTTTTGTTCTTCCAGAGGAATTTCGTTATTATTTTTTCTGGCTCTATAAAGTAACTCTTTGATAGTTTGATTGGCATGGTACTGAGTAAGCAAATTAAATGTTCGTTGTTTCTTATAGCATGGTAATATTCCATTAAATCCATGCGCAGTCATTTATTTTGTCATCTTGCAGTCAATGAGCATCTATTTTGTTTCCAGTTCTTTACTGCTACTGTTTTTGTTTATGTGTTTTTTGTTTTTTTTTCCTATATGTGACCTCCTTGGAATAAATGTGTAGCTATAGGATTTCTAAGTCAAAGGATATGAATGTTTTAGTCACTTTCTAAGTGTAATTGTATATTGTTGGGGCCAATTTGTTCCATATTTTATAAATGATGTGAAAGAGAAAATGGACAGTACAGTCTTCGTGTTTTTGCAAACTCTGCATGAAGGTCTTCTGGGACATTGGAAGACACCAAGATGATGAAGGGCAAGTGTAGGAAGATCCCGTGAGGCTTTTGGAGTGGGTGGAGAAGTGACGTATAAGTTTCATGTAGGGCAAGAGCTGTGCATGTAAAAACCGTGAGTTATCTTTATGGGATGAGACACTCCAAGCTAACAGCAGTGACTCAGGAAAAGGGCTTGGAGTCATTATTGACTCTTCTCTGAAGAAATTTGCCCAGTGTATGCTGCCAAGACCAGAAAGGCCAGTGAAATCATCAGAAAGGGTATAAGAAACCAGGCATCAGCTGTAATCTTACACTGCTACAAAAATTGCACACAATTTCTTAAGTTACCATAGTTCGAGCAGAATTCTCGGAATCTAGAGATGAACCAGAAAAGGATAGGCAAAATGATGAATAATCACACATAATGAAGCACAATGAAAAAGATGTTAAAGTTTAGGACTTTTAAAACTCAGAAAGATGAAGGCCAGGAAGAGATTTGATCTAATTGTATAGTCCATAAAAGGTGATCACAGAGTTGTCCACCTAATTCCAGTATTTTAAAGCTAGCGGAGTTTACTGCCTTCTGGCAGCAAGTCGTTGCTTTCAGAACTTGTTATCTGAAGGTGATATGGTATAGATTGAAAATTGGTTCTAAAAAAAGTTTTGATAACTTCACAGATACCAGGTTTATAATTAGCTCCTAGGCAGTATGTCTTGTTTTGGGATTCCTCCCTGCTCTTTTGAACTTGGAATTGAGAAAGGTGACCATACTTCCCCATAACATATCCCAGTTACTATTAGAGGCAGATGACCTAAGTGGATGATAGCCCAGGATGTTGATTCTGAAATGCCTGTAGTAGCTATATAGAAAAGTACTTACTCAAGCTCTTGTTAAGTAGAAGACACAGGAAATCCAAGTTCTAGATTCTTTCCTGAGCTCCGCCATTGACTTGTTTAGAACTTGCACTTAGGTTCAAAGAGTCGACTGCACGGGAGCTGGGAAGGAATATCTGGTTTACTACAGTTGTAGTTACCTGGGAGTGCTAGCTGATTACAAAAGTGATAGGATTGTGAAAGAAAATTAATGCAGTCTTCATGTACTATATTGCAGTCTCAGTAATCTCCGTCTAAACTTGTTATCACAATTTCCTATGCCCTTCATCTTACATGGTACTTTGCCAACAGTAAGTACTTATTGAATGTGTGTTGAATTAAATTGCATCAATGCATATTGTAAAAATCAGAGGGAGTCAGTAGTCTTGCTGAACTTTTGTTTTGATCAGACGTAAGAGCAGGGAGTTATAACCTGGGATCTATAAACTTGGATGAACTTATCTTAGATAACTGTTTTCCAACACAATTATTTTTCTTCATAGTGCTATGTATTTTGTTTTATGCATCCAAAAAACATTTTGAGAAAGAGTCCTTAGGTTTCACCAGAATGCCAAGGGGGAGGGGAGGTCCATGACACACACACAAAACTAAGAGTGCTGTGCTTAGAGCATCATGTTGGGTTCCAAATGCCATATTTTGTTAGTGACATCAACAAAAATGAGACATATCTAGAGGAGGGTAATAAGGCTGGTGAAGGGTCTGTAAACCATGTCGTGAGAGTATTGAAAGAACTGTGCGTGACTAATTTTTGAACTGTTATTTAATGCTTGTTCTTTTCTTGTATATACTTTCCCTACATAGATAATACGTTTCTTGAAGGTAGAGAACCTTGGTTATTTTTGCTGTACATAAAAACGATGTGCTAACTTAAAATGTTGTATAGCCTCTTATGGGGTCTTTGTTTTGTTCCCTGATAGTATTATGCCTACCTGTACTCCTACGTGATGCCTCAGGCCATCCGGGACATGGTGGATGAGTACATCAACTGTGAGGATATTGCCATGAACTTCCTTGTCTCTCACATCACCCGGAAACCCCCCATTAAGGTGAGGAATTCTGAAGAAGAATGAGAGGACAGATGTATGGGAAGTCCTCCTAAATCCCCCTTAGCACAGTCTTGGAAGTCAGGAAACTTGGGCCTGGTGTTGGTTTTGTTGCTGAAAGAGTTTGGCCTTATAGTTCAGTCCAGTCTTGCAAAAACCGCTCACTCCCAGCTGGTTGTCATTTCTGTTTGGCCAGTTATGAAGAATGTTGGCTTCTCATTCCATGTTGAGTGAAGGGAGAATAAGCTAGGGCTATGTGTGAATGGGCGGGTAAGTTTTCATTGATCTGCTATGTTCTGAGGGATCTGCCTCTTCTTGACTTCACAGAGAGGCAAGTATGTGCACTCCTTTGAAAGACTATATCCTTGTATTTCCTGTTACTCGATTGCCAGATTCCTCTGGGATTTTTCCCATTTCCTTTATTTCCTCACCACTTTTGAGAAGTACGTGATTTTTTCCCCCCTGCACAAGAACATTTGATGTTTGTGATGGAGCTTTTGAAGTTTGCCCCACACTCCACGTGTTATCTAATTGGATCCTCGCAGTGACCCCTTATGGTGGGCAGTCCAGGTATCATCATCCCCTTTTCTAGACTGGGGCACCGAGCTAGTCAATGTCAGGGGTGGGGAGCATCTAAACCTGCCTCCTCCTGACTGCGCCCAGTGTTCTCTCCACTGCCCTAAAGTCCCCTCAGATTCCTGCCTCTTTACCCTTCGCGGGCTGCAGTGGTTGTCAGTGCTTCAGTTCTCCCTGTTGGTTGTTCTGATACATTGTCAGAGGTTCTTGGAGGACAAGGGCAGGAAGGGGAGGGGGGAGATTATGCCCAAACTGCAGCGACAGCAATTTTTTTAAACTCTTCCACATTCACTCTGTCAGTTCTGGCATTAGGAGCCAGTCACCTGCATCGTTTCACATTCTTTTAGACCATCTTCCATTCTAACCATAAAACATTGCTAAAGAGGGTGAAGATATCATGCTTCCAACACAGAGTATGCACAGACGTAGGTTTTAAATAGGCCCCATTAAATTTTTTGCAGTTTTAGTCCTGGGGGAAAAAATAACTTGTGATCTCCATAGATGAGCCAGCCTAGAATGGGGTAACCCAGGTGTTTGACGGGTCCTGTAAAACCCAGGCTTTGAGAGATTTCAGATGGGGAGCAGTGAGTGGAGGTATCAAGCTTGAGCTGGTAGCCTGTGATACGTTTCCCAAAATGGGGTGACTGACTTTGCTTTTAAGAAATTGGGAGAGTGGGGCAATTTCTTCTTCTTTTTTTGGTGAGGCAACTGGGGTTAAGTGACTTGTCCAGAGTCACACAGTTAGTAAGAGTTTAGTCTGTGGCCGGATTTGAATTCAGGTTCTCCTGACTCCAGGACTGGTGCTCTATCCACTGCACCACCTAGCTGCCCTCAGTAATTTCTTCTAATGCAACCTAACTGTAGTATCAATTGCTGCTCCTTTTAACAGGACCTTATTCCTTCTACTGGCTATCATATCTGCTTCCCCAAGCATTAGCTTGTTAGCCTTATAGTTTGCCACTGGCCACTGAAATTCAGATGATGCTCTTGGTGGCTGCGGTCATCCCATTCGCCATGTGGTAGCTGGTGAATTCTAGAGTTTGTAGTCAGTTTGGCCAGAGCCTGTGGCCTGCTGGAGCCCCAGGCAGTCTTGTGGACGGTAAAAAGCTTTGGTTTGTGGAAGCCCCAGCCTCACTGTTCAGTGTATGAGGCCTAGGCCAAGTCTGCTGGCTCTGACTATTCCTTTCCAGAGTGCCACGCTTACCTCAGAGTTCCCAAAGGTCAAGTCTTTGAGGTTAGGCTTTACACTACTATGGAGCCTGTGACCTCTTCTATCCTGGACTTTCCAGTCTGGATTTTTGCCCCTAATTTACTGTGCTTTCAGGTCAGTGACTTCCCTCCTGTGTTACCTGTTTCCTTGTTGGTGCACCAGGGGCTTGTAATTTCAACAATGTGAGCACTCCTTCCACCCAGGCAGATTGCAACATATCTGTAACTTACAGTCTAGAGCATTAGCTGCGTCTCAGAGAAATTAAAGAGAGACTAAGTACCTGATTTCCTCTCGAGGGCAGAAAAACGAGCAGATTTATCAGAGTCCTTGTGTGTACTTCTTATCAAGATTGTGCATTTATTTATTTCAAAGCAGCAAGGTGGTGCAGTGGATAGGGCATGAAACGTGGAATCAGGAGGACTTGAGTTAAAATCGTGCCGCAGACACTAGTTTTGGGACTCAGGGCAAGTCGCTTGACCTCTATCGGCCTCAGTTTCCCCATCAAGAAAATGGGGATAATAATAGTAGCACCTGCCTCTCAGGGTCATTGTGAGGCTAAAATGAGGTAATGCATATAAAGTGCTTTGTAAACCTTTAAGCGTTGTGTAAATACCAGCTATTGTAAGTGCTGTCCTAGTTCAATTTATTAATGTCCCTAGGTAAATGAGAGGATGTGTGAATCTCATGTAGCTTACATTTCTAAGAAGGAGCCCAAGCTAAGTCAGTATTTTCTTATACAAACAAACAAATATACATACATGTAGTTTAATCTTAAGGCTGGTGCTAAGCTAACAAATTATTTTTCACTTAACTATAAAGAGCACTGATTTATAATTTTTCTAATTATTTTCTCCCTTTTGTGTTCATTAGCACTGGTGTTATTTCAGTGGTAGAACAGAATTTCTAGGTAAGCAGGAGTTAAGTTCTCTGCCTGGGTCAGACTGAGCAAGAAGAGACTGGGTTCAGTGCTGCTGGTCACTTAAAGCTGCGTCCTTCTCTAAGCCTGAGAAGGCCCTCGACACGGGTGCCCTTGGACTCTCCCTTTCTGTGGACTTTGGTGTTTTCGCCATGGCTTGCTCCCCTAACCTTTGTTCTTGCTTTTTTTCCCCTTCTGTCAAATTTAGACATTAATTTCTGTTTTTGCGACCCTGCGTTGGTACATAACCTCAGGCTGATGTCTGTGTACCTTGTATTGACAATTGTTGTGTGCTTAGCTATAATGTAAATGGATATACATACATGTGTCATGACTGAATCCATCAAGTGGTCCTTGTCTCATGGCCCCACACTGTTGTAATTGACATTTAGTTTCCTGTTGTGTTACCAGAATCTTTTCCTTGAAAAGTGAACATTCAAAGTGAGTTGGTAGACCTGAGGTGAGCAAGTGAATAGTAGCCTTTTACTTTGTTTAGAGGCAAAGATCTTTACTGGGAAGATAACAAAATGGCTGGTGTGATAACGCTGCCTTTCCCAGTTCCTCCTTTGTTTTTTTCCTCACATCACTAATTCCTGGGCTTTGGCCATGACACACACACACACACACACACACACACACACACACTCTAGGGACATTTTGCTAATAGGTTAAAAGATAATGGTGCTCCATGCTTTTCAGTAACATAATACCTTGGGCCAAAGTATTGATGGATGTCATGGATTTTTTTTCTTTGCTTTTTTTTTAAAAAAAAGAATAATTCCTATTTCAGCTGATCATTTGAATATAAGAAGCAAGCAAATTAGATTGACATTCATCGTTAGTATTAGTTCATGTAAAAAGTAAAATATCCAAAGAAATGTAAGTATTTCAAATGAAAACAGCTTAGTTAAATAAGATAAGAATTCATCTTTTTTTCATAAAAGGGGGAAAGAAGAAAAGCTACTGAAGCATCTCCGTGACAATAAACATAACCTAGTGAAAGAGGTTTCATTCAGCTACTGCTACTGCTGAGTAATAGGCTGGAAAATCAGTGTGACCATTGAATCCCAAGATTTGTCATAATCCGTCCATGCCTGTTTGTCACCCGCATCCACTGTATGGCTGTGGCAGGTGCGGTGGAACATTAGCTGGCGTGTGTAAAGTGTGCTCCGGTTTGCCCCACAACAGCCCTGGGAGGTGGGTTTATACCTATTGCAGAGATGGAGAAACAGATAAAAACAGTCCAAGCTGGGATTTGGTTGCAGGTCTTGCCTGCCTCCAAATCCAAGACTTCATCCATTCCTATCACCCTGCTACCCTCCGGGATAATTCACAGCCCTCTTGGGGGACACATGATAGTAGATGTGCTGCATCTTTAAATTTTCTGCTATTTTTTTGCATTTGCGTAGGCGGATTGCCCCCTCAAATAGGACACGGATGTTCATCATAGCCAAGAGCACTGGGCCTGGAGTTTGAAAGACCTGAATTCAGATCCAGCCTCAGACAGTTACTAACTGTGATACAGGGCAAGTCACTAACCCCCCTCTGTAAGATGGGGATCCTAACAGCATTTACCTCCTGGGGATTGTCATGAGGATCATATGAGATCATATTTGTAAAGCACTTAGCATAGTGTCTGGCACATAATAGGGGCTTATGTAGATGTTTATTCCCTTTTCTTTTCCTTAGCTTCCTATGTTAGCCTATCTGTCTCTCTGTTGAGAAAGCTAGTCAATTCAGACGTGACTTATGTGATTCTTGAGGCCTTTCAAGGATCCATCACTTCTTTGGTGTGGGTACCCTCCCCATTGCTGTATATCACAACCCTACCATGATCTAGTTAACATCCTGTAGAATTGTTGTGGCTGAAAAATACATCCTTCTGCGGTCATTGAGGTGAAGAGCCCCTCTGGATTTAAGGAGGCTGGGCCTCGATGATACCATCCTTTGCTGAATGCATGCTCGAAGCCTTTCCCACTTGGTCGAGATTGTACTCAGCTATCATAGCCTTTGAGAACAGAACCCAGAGGTACCACTAGATGTGCCTTTGAAGGAGAACTAGAGCATAGGAGGTGCTTCCTATGAAAGGAAAACACTGAATTTGTTTCTGAGTCTTTTTCAGTTCTTACAGGTAAATCGGGGGACCCATCTAAAATTAGTGCCTTTTTTAAACCAAGAGCCCCACCCCCAAAATCACCAAATCTTTGGAATATAGAATAACATTAGAATTCATTTAGTCCATTTCCACTGCCCACTCTCATAGGCTTATAGATTTAGAGCTGGAAAGGATCTTAGGTCATCAGTTCCAACCCTTCCATTTTACAGATGAAGAAATGGAGACCCAGGCTAGGAAACTAATTTTGCCCAGGGTTCCACAGCTGGTTAGTGTTGGAGCCATGACAAGAACCCAGGTCTTTTAACATTTTTAGACAATCTTTCCACTTTAACAAAGTATGATATTCTTTCAATTTATAGGCCCCTGTATTAATTCCTTCATGTTTTAAGATATTAGTTTCCATTAACTCCTTTTTAAATATGTATATCATATCATTGAATCAAAACCTATCATAGAATTGTCTTGGGAAGCAAGCACAGGAATTGTCAGGAGTCTATGTCAGGAGATACAGCCTTGAATGCCAGTTTGGACATTAAGTCGCTCTGTGACCACAAATAAGTCATCAGACCTCTCTGCCTCTATAATGGGGACGGGTGTTGTTGAGGAATGTATTTTGTAAGCCTTAAAATGCAAATACCTAAGTGTGAATGGTGGTTGTTATTGGAAAGATGTTATAATGCTTTCCTTGCAGTTTACAAAGTGCTTTTATGTATATTAACTCGTTTTATCTTGACGACAACCTTGTGAGCTCACGTGTACTTAGTGCTTATGTGACTGCTTCCTGGACTTTTCATCCATGGCAGACAGGGCAGACATTCTTAGGCCCATTTTAACTAGGAGGAAATTGAGTAACTGGCCTAAGGTATGTGTTTGTTTTTAATCAGACTGTGACTCCACCAATAGAAGGAGCTCCTGATGAGGAGCTCCCTCCGCCAGTGCAGAGATATGCTGGCTCTGCCACATGGAGTCTTAGTGAGTTGCCTCACATCATGTTTCTAGTAAATGATTACCCTGGAACTAGAACTCAGGCCTTTCCCCTCTATTCCAGTGCCAGGGATCAGCTAGCTCTTAGCTTAGTTCCCCTTTTCACAACTCACTTCATTTCAAAGTGTTAAAACTATATCCCTAAAATCAGATGTTTCATAGCTGGGCTGCCATCTTTTCCATACTCTTCCATCTGGGGTAGTCCGCCTTCCATTTTAGCTCCCATCATAGCCATGGGGCCAGTGCTACCCAATTACACCGTTGTTACAATGGCTACCTTCATTAAAACTTTGGGAATTAATAGCCTAAAAGGGCCCCCCATTCAGGACAGGGGATCAGATGACCTCGGGCGGGAAGCCTTAAAAATATAGGATTGACTTGAGCAAGGAGTTAGGTTGGTAGATGAGGGAAGAGGAGCATGCTGGACTCGCAGCATCTTGCCTGTCTCTCTCTGGGCTTCTTACATCAACTAAGAATTTTACAAGCCATTGTTAAACTAAATAGCCTGACATTTCCTGGAAACTGTGTCCATCAATGATCCCAGAACCTCCTGGGAGAACTACTCATCCAAAGAGCTTTCTATGTGTAGCGGGGCATGCATTGGATGGCTTTTTGCCTGTGGTTAAACGTTGGCTATCCAGGAAGAGGATGCATGACTAAGAGACCAGCGGAGAGGGAAATGCTGGATGGATGAATTGTGTGCTTACTGTTGCTCTCATCTCAATGCTTGAGTTCCTTTTCTAGTTGAGGAAGGAATTGCAGGGGACCAGTGAAAAGACCCACAGCTCATTGTTAGCTTGAACTGGAGGGTTCTTATATAAGTCGCTAATGGGCCTGGAGCTGAACTCCTGGAAGGGGGCCTTCTCAAGAGGCAGGCGTGATGAGCACAGTCGATTTCCAAATCAGAAGTGAGCAACTGGATTTGGCCCCTTGGGGCAGTGACCTTGTTGGCTAGCAAAAATAATAATGATGATGGCTTGCATTTATAGAATGCTTTTTGGCTAGTGAGGATCAAATAAGGTGATGCTTTATAACTGTAAAGTGTCATAAAAACGTAAGCCATTTTCATCATTAGCCCGCAGAGTCAGCTTCTGCAGATTCTACTGCTAGATGAGTTAAGAAGAATGTTATCTTATGGACGAAGAAAGAAACTGAGGCTAGAGGCAGTGAACGGAGAGGCAGGAGAGACTCAGGTTCTAATCCTGGCTCTGATTTTTCTTAGCTGTATGGCCTGGGGCAAGTCACTTAGGCCCTCTGAAGCTGAGTTATGTAGTCTGTGGAATGGGGAGAATGATGCAGTACCTCCCTCATAAGATCTTTGAGGGGGAAGGAACTTGCGTAGGGAGCTCTGCTGAGGGACAGGTGCCTTCTCTACAGCTTATATTCCCAGCAAGTTATCCAGGGGACTGAGGGGCTGTGACTTGTGCAGGGTTACCCTGCCGGGATGTGTCAGAGGCGGACCTTCAACTCCCTGGAGTCCTGAGGCCAGCTGTCTACTGTACTGGCAGGTTGGGGAGCTGCCTCCCTTGGATCAGTGCCTACCGCGTGCCAGGCACTGTGCTGAGCTGTACTAATAAGTGACAGTCCCAGGATTCCAAGGCAGGATCTCTGATTCTGGGCCCAGGGTTCTCACTGCCTGCTCCTATGTGTTATATAACACAACGGACCGTGTCTGATAGCCTGTGTAGTAACGGAGATGTACACAGGGTGGGTTAAGTTGCATTTTAAGAAATCCTCAGATGGGGCATATGTGATTTAAACTGATACCTCTGATCTTTCTGCCTCTAGGTGACTTCCCGATGGACATTCCGATGCCCAGGGTGCCCCCAGGCATTGTCCCATGATGACTCACATTTCCACGAGCGGCACAAGTGTATCAACTTCTTTGTCAAGGTGTATGGCTACATGCCCCTGCTGTACACACAGTTTAGGGTGGACTCCGTGCTCTTCAAGACCCGCCTACCCCATGACAAGACCAAGTGTTTCAAGTTCATTTAGAGGCACTTCGGGATGTGGTGATGAGATCATGTGGAGGAAGGGAGATGGCACCTGCGGGCCGGAGGGTTAGGAAGCCTTGTGGACATCCACCAGCTGGGTGGTCCAGGCTGGCCACTGCTGAGGAAGGGGGCCAGCAAGAGTGGAAGGGAACATCTGCCTTCAGTCTTGATGCCAGCCCTGCCCAGGCACAGCAAATACTGGGCTGCTCCCTGCTAGAGCATTGGTCTAGAGATGCCAGGGTTCCACCAACAGGATATTCAGTAGCTTACACTAAGGACCATGGGGACTCGGGATAGTCACTGAGTACATTAGCCCAGGATGACTGGTTTGTGGTTTTTATAACAATGATAATAATAATGATGATAACTGTTATTATTATTTAAAAAGAAAGTGTTTCAGGTTTGCCTCCAAAGGCTTTTATATACATATATATATATACACATACATATATATGTATGTTTGCACACAGAAACAGAGACAGACAGACAGACACACACATATATATATATAGATCTGTCTTCGGGGACTGAATTTTTTGCCTGTCTCACTGCGTGAGAAGTTGCAGGCTTCAGAGACCTCCTCTTCTTCACTTGGATGGAGTTGGTTCCCAACCTCACAACTCTCCCCCCACCTCAGGCATCCTCCCTCATTTCCTAGGGATGTCTGTGTTGAAACAAGTTAGGGAATGGGGTTTTCCTCATCACAGCCCATGCCCGGGCCCATCCCCAGCGTCCCCTTCTCCTCCCTTTCTGCCTTCTAAGCCAAGACTGAACAGGGGGGAGCAGTAGCCTGCAGCCCGATTGAGCTGCCCTCCCAAACATCTCTCTCCTGCCTCAGCGTCTTGAACCTCTTATCATTTGCCTGTTGTCCGTTGCCTTCAGAATCACCTGCAGTCTTGTATTTTTGGATGAGAGAAAGGGAAAGCTGGTCGTTTCAGCTGCCAGGTGCATTTGGAGGGGTTTTAGGATGGCTCAATTAGCCTGAGTAGCAGGCCTCCTTTCAATACCCCGGCTGGCCGGGGCGTCCCACAGTGAGAAGTACAACTAATAACCCTGGTAAAATTGGTCTTCCTTTCCTTGAACAAATTGTTGATTATCTGGCCTTAGGGCACTTAATAATTTGCATTCTATAGACTCTGAAGGAGACCAAGCTGGTTCCAGGGCCCATGAAACTTGGAAGGAACTCTAAGAAGGAATAGGGAACATTCTGGATCAGTTTGAGATCCCAAGGGCTGCCTTATAAACTGACCTGACCTCCCTTCTCTCTTCCTCAGGTTTTCCAAAGTAGTGATGTAGACCCATATTACTACCACCAGCCCTCAAGTCCAGACCTGGGCTAAGCCTGAAATAAACCAGTCTGAGTGGGTTGGGAGCTGGGCACAATTTCTTAGGGACTCAACTTATTCTATCTAACGCTATATCCATATCTAAGCCACGTGGCCCATGGCAGCTGAACAGGAAGCTTGAATTTGGCTTAACCCTCCAGTCGTGCACATGCCTTAAACTAGTTCCCCAACCCCTGTCCCTTGTTTCCACTGAGTCCCTTCACCCCTGTCTATCTGTACTTGCTGTGACCTCCTGAAGTGTCTTCCTGAAACTGGGGCGCTTTCTTGCTCTATCTATTTCTCTTTCTTTTTCTCTCCATCTGCAGCCTCCCCCACACAGGCTTGAGCTACCTTAGTTTCAGGCGGCCCTTTTCAGAGGCAGCTGGGGACTAGTGCCTATCACCCCGACAGGGATGCTTCTACGATTTCAGTGCTTCCCTCCAAAGGTTCACCCCAGCACCTCTTGTCTTGCCTTTTCTATCTCAACAAAATCACATACAGACTTTGGGAGCGTATCTCGGCAGCCCAGCCAGGAGTGACGTCAGCTGCATAATCATTGTTCCGAACTCCCCAGTTGCTCTTCCCCTGATTTCTTACTTTAATCTTTGTAGCTATGGCCTTCCTTCCTTGGGAATGCCGGAGAGTGTGGCATTTTGAGTTGTGTGATATGTGGCTGCTACTTATTTTTTTACACGTGAGAGGCTTGTGCGTTGGTTTATAACAAGGAATAGTCCATTAGGTTTACCTTAGAGAGAGACATCCATTTTGACAGGTCACAAAATACCATACCTAGAATCCATGGGCAGCCCTAAGAGACCGAGGGCACAGTGGCTGCCATGAGAATTTTTGGTTTTGCCCTTTTTTGGGGGGGAGAGGAGGAGAGGATGGGGTAGAGGGGATAGGGGTAAGACAAGTCAGAGGGAAGCCAAGGATAGATGTCCAGATCCCAAAGGGTCCACTGAGCCTGAGGGGCTCTATGAATACAGTCCCATGTGCTAAGAAGAGAGAGCCTCTGCCTGAACTGACAAGAGGTCTACTCTGGCATCTTGGATTGTTTTGGACCCCAAAGAGTGATGTATCTCTTTGGAAAGAGAGGGCTTGAAGAAGTGTTTATTAGGATTAGAAACTCAGTGGCCCGGGTTTCATTTACTCCTGGGGAAATCCCAATATCATTTGCATCTACTCATGTATCCATCTTGCCTGAACAAAAGAGGCACCTGGACCTCTTCATGATTTGAATTTCCTTGGTTCTCCTGCTCAAGAAAGGGCACAGATTTGTCCTAACACCTGCCCTGTGCTACTGGGGCCTAGAAACACCCTCCGTATTTCATTGGCAAGTTTGCTTCTTCCCCCATATGAGTAGCCCAGCCTGGGCTGTGGTCATCCTTCCCACCCCCTGTGCCCCAAGTGCTCACAGTGCCATCCTGAGCTTTTATTTCTCCTTGTAGTGATTCTCCATCCTGTCTGCTCAGGACTTCATCCCACGGACGACTCACTGAGCCTCATACAGAGGAACGGTTTAGGAGGGTGCTGTGCTCCTTTTTCTGGTCTGACTCCCCATGACGTGGTACCACTGCTCAAGGAGCTGCTCCTGGTTTGAAATGACTCTTAAAGGGAGAGGGGAGACCCCTTTTCCACACATGCCCCTCCACAATCATGAGCACAATGATCCTATGTTGGATTTTGTAAGAGGACAAAATAAATGGAGAATTTAATTCAAGTAGCCTGGCAGTTGTATGATTTGCCTCAGAAGAGAAAAAAGCATGTCCCCCTTTTGGGGTCCACCACAAGATGCAAGTCCTGAGAAGACTAAGGAATGACTAAACCTAGGTCACTCATGGAGAGGAGAACTGGGGACAGGATCGCAAACTGTTGCCAACTTAGAACTAAAGCTATTATGGTTCAGCTTTAAAAACTTGTAGATCTCGCAGTGGGTAGCCATTAGGGAGGCTGGCAAAGTGGGCAAAGCAGCTGGGCTCATATCCACTTATGAGGCCAGGGTCATCTCTTCTGGACTGAGTGACCCCAGAAAAGCCCTTCTCTTCCTGGGGGTCTGTTTTACTCAGAAATAAGAGTTTGGGGGCACATTTAGAGAGACTGGTGTGTATGTGGAGACACAATGGTGTTCATTAAGGCCCACTTGACTTTTATTGATGTGGCCATGATGATGACAGCTGCATAAATGTGCTTATTTACATTGAGCTCCATTGTGTCTTTCCTGGTAATACCTGCATCCTATAATTCCTATGGGGGACACTGGAAGCCAGGCATCAAGGCAGAAGAAGCCTGAGCTAAAGTCACTGATGACGTGCTTGGGTTTACAGTTATTCGTGAAAGGGATTGGGGAAAAAAGCGGAGAATGAATAATAAGCATGGTACAGTGGAGAGTGGGATGGATTTGGAGTCAGAGGACTTGGGTTCAAATCATACCTCTTGCTACTTACCATGTATGATCTTCCTTTTACCTCTTGGACTCAGTTTCCTCATTTGTAAAATTAAGGGTTGAACTAAGATGGCCACTGACCTCCCATCCAGCTCTGAATATATGATCCTGTAATTCTCTGGACAGGGCCTTTTGAGGAAAACTTTCGACATTTCCCACCACCTTTATCCAGCAAGCATAGTCCTAGGATTAGGTTGGTTAATTCTTCCTCACTTCTTGGTCAAAAGCAGTGCCTCCTATACCTTTGGTCTAAGTCAATTTAAATGATAACAATGTTGAACAACTTAGGGCCAAGAGCAGATTTCTTGGGGTCCTCTGCTAGAAACCCTCCAACTTGACAGACACTTCACAAGTGTACAAACTGTGAGGAATAAACATGGTGACATTCTATTGCAAAGATTTAAATTTGACATGTTGTTTTGTCTTCATCTTTGAAGGGGACCAGTGACATCATGGGGTGATGACTTGCGCATGAATTGGATTTAAGTGAGACAGAGTTAGACAAAGTTGTCAGCCTCACTCCTTTCCTGAGTCATTGAGGTCCAGTGGCAAGACAAAAGTCAAGATGATGGCCTGGTGTGCAGGGAATGATGACCTTGGCATCTTCTATGCCTGACCAAGCTCTAAGCCCTCCATAGCACCTGTTTCAGCTGTCTTTGTGGCCATTGGAACAAATTGTTCTCATCCACCTGTTTCACTGGATTAGTCTTTACATGCTTGGGGTAGACACCTGTCTAACTCATTGAAGAGGCCTGTCAATTACCCTCAACCTGGATTAGCCTATCTGCCTCGACGGTTCTACTGGAGGGTGGCCGCTCCACATGCTACAACTTCTTGGAGTCACGGTGAGAGTTGGGTGCCAGGTGGACCCCAAAGGTAGATGAGCAGCCCTGAAAAGGGCTTGGCTACCCCCATACCAGAGGTGCTAGTCCTCCTTAAACACCACCATACACCCCAAATTTGAGACCACTGTTTGTAATAGTCAGTATGGGGAACAAGCATTTATTAAGTGCTATCATATAATATGACAGGGAAGGGGAAGGGAATAAGCATTTATGAAGCACCTACTATAGGCCAGGTCCTGTGCTAAGCACTTTACAAATATCTCATTTGATCCTTACAACAACTCTGCTATTGTTATCTGCATTTTACAGATAAGGAAACTGAGGCAGACAGGTTAAATGATGTGTTCAGGGTCACACAGCTAGGTTCTGAGGCCAGATTTAAACTCGTCTTCCCGACCGCAGGCCCAACACTCTATCCACTGCTCCACTTAACTGCGTGAGACTGACATGCTTTGCTGAAATCCAAGTATATGTCTGAACCATTGCACTTACCTACCAACCTCAGGGGATAGAGTGTTGGGCCTGGAGTCACGAAGACCTGAGTTCAAATCAGGCCTCAGACCCTTACTAGCTGTGTGACCCTGGGCAAGTCACTTAACCTTTATCTTAATTCACTTGAAAAAAAAAAAGGCAAACCACTCCAGTATCTTTGACAAGAAAACCCCGTGGACAGCACTGGTGTGCTATGGTCCGTAGGGTCACAAAGAGTCGGACGTGACTGAATGACTGTACAACAGCAGCACCAGTCTGATACCTGCATCTTAGAGTTCCTATGGCGGACACTGGAAAAAACAAATGAGGTTAGCCTGATGGGACAGACATAAGCTCTTCTCATCTTGGCCTTCAAGATGCCGGGATCACCACAGGTTAAGATGAGGCACCAGAACAGGACTTTGATTATATGGCTAGGACCGGGGATCATCCAATCCCTGCCTTTAATCAGGAGGATTTCAACAGTACTGACTCTCTTTGCATCAGTCGTGTGATATTGTCCTCACGGTCCTGTTTCACGCCTACCACATCTTTGTGAGACATGCTGCAACACTGCTCCTCCAGCTGGTTTTATTCCTTCTTGATTCCAGATAAGACCATTGACAGACCAGGATCCTTTTGGGTCCTAATGGTACAGTACAGTTTGTATGTCTGTGCTGGTTATAAATAGGATAATTTTTTAAAACAAACATCCCATTCCTGCTTTTGTGTAATGAAGGGAAGTCACCTTCATACAGTATGCTCGATGCCCAGGTACCTACCCTAAGCCTAGGGACCTATTTAAATACTCGGTCAGGTTCATCTCAAAAAAAAAAAAAAAAGGATGAATTTCAATAGGGCCAATTGCAAAATGATAAAAATGGTAGGTTTCTAGAAAATGGTTGACAAGATGTGGGAAAGCCTGATTACACAAAAGTATATAGAAGGCAAGGGGTTGTAGATGACCATAAGATAAATAGGCTATCGAGAAAATGCCATTTGTGTGCAGGGCAGGCAATCCTCTGGATCAGGTTATTCGCTTTCTGGTCGGGCAGTTCCCAATGAGTGGCCACATTACAACAACTCATTTTCTTCTGAGATCTACTGAATGTTCCTCTGCTGGTTCAAAGCAGAGTCTCTACAGTGAAATGATACTTCTTCCTCATAGTGATAAACCAGAATTCACTTTCCTTCAATTTGTATCATAACTAAGTAACATACATTTATCCCATAGTTACCCGACTAGTTCTAGAGATCAGGGCTTCCCATCATTACCTTTAAATTTGTCTTGTCAGGCAAATGCAAATTAGATGCAGGGAAATGAGACACAGAGGCCATCTTTATCCTGATTAAGTCTTTAGGAGGCTGTTTTCTTTTCAGTATTTCACAACTGTCCCTATTTCTGCCCCTACCAACAAAACTGTATCTGAATGGGGAAACCTTTTATGAATGAATGAATGAAAAAAACTATTAAGTGCAAGCTAAGTGTGGGGATACAGACAGAAACATAAGACAGTCCAAGCTCCCAAATTGTAATGAAAGAGACAATACATATGGAAGGTTTCGGCAGTGACTCAGATGGCAATGTCCTGGGGTCCCCAGGGCATGGCCACAAAGCAGATGGTGATGTCTCTTCTTTAACGTCTTTGCCACTGATAAAATCATATCAGTTTTTGATGCTGAATCATTTAACAGTGCCAAGGACTTGGGGGCAATAACTTTTTTCCTTGCCGGATCTTCATTAGCTTAGTTGCAGCATCTGCAGGAGCAGCTGCCAGGCTGCATCTCCACAGGAGCTGCTTCATAGGATGATGGCTTATAGGCTCTGTGCTGGAAGCACTGCTACATCCAACACTCTTGGGTTCAGGGTCCTTGGATGTCTCCACTGGGATCTGAGGGGAGATGGTGGTCAAGGAGGGGGTTAGTGTGGCCCGGCCCAGGGTGCCTTGTCAGTCTTGTGAC